TTCGTACAGAAATTGCCTCGAATTGTTAAGGAATAATGCACAGGTTCGTTTCTCCCTTGGACCGATCAGGTGGCTTGACGGGTTACACCGTTAGTATAGTAGTTGATATGTCACGCTCATTTAAGGTTGAACATTTGTACCACCGCATAACCAGGAAATCTTTCCAATTCTGCTCAAAGTACCAACGCCGAACAGAGTTCAGGAAACTGTGTGAACTGTTGCGCCTACATTTGAACCAGATTCAAAAACATCAGCATTTGGCCCATGTGTAAGTTATAATTTCTCAATATCTTTCACTAAACATAATAAGATTTACGTAATTACAACCGGATTGTATTTTTGTAGCGTGAAGCTGAATTCGCCGGAGTCCTTATCAATGATGCAGGAAACACGTCTTTGCCAGTTGGATACTGCTATACAAATGGAACTCTGGCAAGAAGCCTATCGGTAGGGTAGTGAAGTCTGGTTGAAAAGATTGCTTCATTTTCTCTGATTGGTTCGTTACAGTAGTGCCGAAGATGTTCACGGAATGATGCAGCTCAGCAAAGACAAGGACAAACGCATGGTAAAGCCCGCTAGTTATGTGAATTATTACGATAAGGTATGTGGAAGATTCACTATAATTTTCTGTTTCAGTACTTGATAGGTTTCTAACATTTCTAATTTAGCTTGCCTTAGTGTTTTGGAAAGCTGGAAATAGTCTCTTCCATGCAGCAGCTCTTCTCCAGAAATTCATAATTTATAAGGTTAGCCAGCCGTATTCGGCCCACCTTCATTGGGTCATATTGAGGTTATAAAGACAATGTCATGTCATTTTAGGACATGAAGAGGTCTTTCACTGCAGATGAAGCTCAAGAGCAAGCGAGTCGGGTCTTGCTAGCAACGTTATCTATACCGGACGGAGCCGATGCTCCTTCAGACCTTACTCGTCATTTGGATATTGAGGATCAACATCTCACTAACATTCGGTAGACTGATAGTTGTTTCTATAGTTCACTCTTTGCTGAAGAAGTGGTAAATGTTCAGGTTACTCTCGAATTTGCTCCGTCTTCCCATTGCTCCTACGCGTGCTGGATTATTGAGAGAAGCCGCTCGTCTCGGCGTCCCAGAGATGGCTTCGGAATCGACCAACGCGTTGTATAAGCTACTAGAGAATAATTTTGCTCCTCTTAGGTGAGTTTTGCAGCTTATAAGGGAAGAATGGCAGGTTGAAGTGGCCGTTTGCGATAAGGTGTATGACCACCTTGGAATTTCGAGCGGCGATTCCAAATCTGTTTCTGTATCTGCTAAAGGACTCTCTGAACGAAATTAAGAGTTTGTAGGTAAACGGAGCAGACCCAGGCTCGGCACAAATTAGATGCATATAGAGCATGGGAGGCCTGGATACTATGCCGGCCTTAAGTCTGCGAGGTGAAGGGTGTCAATCCTTAGTGTGCTGCGTATTGTGTATTTTTTAATAAATCTCTGAAGATAAAGAGAACATAAAAACTTGCGATAGTAACGCATGCAGCAAGAGGTGTTTTCCCCTCAAACGGGTACTATATTCGTGTTCAGGAGCTCAAACTTCATACGGCACACTTCTGTTCAAATTGAGATTTTCACCTTCACATCGAAAAGGTGATGTAACACTGGGCAGTGGTCTACTGGCTTTTTCGGTGCTTATTCACCATCTTCATCAAAAACTTGAGTCTGAATACCATTCAGCCTCTAGCCACGAACAATATGGCGTCATGTTAAAAATTTGCCAATATTGCTTGAGCGACCGATTGGCTACCGTCTGTAGTTGTGTTCAGATGAACTCGTTCTGAGAGAAGTAGTAGCGTCCAGAGGCGGCAGGCGTTGTTCAATAGTCGTGTTGCCCCTCGATCACCTCGATAGATGGAGTTCCAATAATAAACATCTTCTTGCGCAGAGGTTGCAATCGAGAGCTGGTATCGAAGACACCAGTAATCAGGAAGTCCATGACTCCTACACTCTGCTAATGTAACGGTCCAAATCGCGACTTGTCTAGAAATTTGCCCGAAGGGGTAGTCTGATCTCCTTGAAGTCACTTTCGCTTCCCATGAACTTCATTTTTGCGCTGCGTATGCCTGTGTGCCGCAATGTCAGAGCCTGATAATCCGTAATTCCAAAAAAAACTTCTCAAAAAGCGAACTGTGGATAAGCAATCGCGGTTGGTTCAAGATAATCTGCATATTGTTAGCGTCTGACGAAAAATCCTAATTTAAGTACGCAAGCGGACTCGATCCCCTGGCGTTGATCCTACAAATCCGGACTTTTATCCTCTAGCCGATAGTGCCACATATAGCGCAAAAACCTTCGTAGTTTTGTTCGCAGTGTCGTTTAGCAGGTATGGAAGACGGATTTGGAATCGGATGCAAAGACGCTCAAACGTTACACAGCTCATCTTGTTAGATTGAAGTTTATCATATAATCAAAACGTGTTGTAGGTTAGCTAGAGAAGTTGAAGCTCAGCTGTCTTTGATTGAGCGTCCTGATCACCTCCGGTA